ATATATATATATATATATATTTTTATATACTATACCATACAAACGAAAGAAATTTACGTAATTCTTGTACAGAGTGTCTCGCGAATAATGGTTTCACAATCGATCGTGAGGTGATTCGACACGTAACAGTGAATCGAGAAGAAAAAATTTTCTTCATTAGAGCCATCGTTTTCGAGAAAATCGAATTTTAATCAAACATATTCAAAGTCTATTTTCTTGGACAGAACGCCTTAAACGAAAAAATATACTCTACATTTTATTCCTACACGTGAAATATCCTCGCGTGTCGATCATTCACGCTCGTTCATTGCAAATAATAATCAAATTCGAATATATATTTGAGAAATCCTCAAACTCGATTTCTTCAAAAACGAAGGCTTTAATGCAAAAGTTTTATTTCTTTTCAACTCATTTTTATATGTAGAGTCATTTCTCAATCGATCGATCGACGAATCACGGAGCACCCTACTGAAGTACATGTAGGTTTATAATAACGATTTGTTCTTTTTTTTCTTTAATTTAATTACTCTGTGATTATTACATGTAACTGCTTTTTATATTGGATTGATAAGATGTTTCATTTATTATTTTGTTATAGGATCAATATTATTATCTTTTCTGTAATAAATTTATGTTATTACCATTTATTACAAATTTATTGTCATTACTATTGTTCATACAATATTAATAATTATTTATAATTTATCAAAATTACTTACGATTATAAAAAAAATAAGAATATAGAAAAATTACTCATGCATCGGCAATCGAGTTAGGTCAGGCATTCGTGATCCTGCAACGGCAGCACCTGGAACCATTAACTTGTTAAATTCGTTCAAAATTTTTAATTGTCAAGTTTACTTACTCATTAAAATTCCTGACATAATGTAGATACTAGTAACACATTGTACATTTAGAAAGAGTTTAGCAAAGCTACCAATAAAGTATGGAAATATCCTAGATATACCGATAATCGTGCCCCTGAAATCACACTAAATTCACCAAAATTTTCAGATATCTTAATATACGTACACTATCGTGTATAAATAATTCCATTAAAAGTTTGATATTCTTGTAATTTTCAAATATCATATTCATTTCTAATAAATAGCTGAGATGTTTTATAAAATCTGTATGAGCTTTCTCAATGCGATTGGGGAACATGTATTTCAATTGTTCTAAAATTTTAAAAATGAAATCTAATTATTATAATTTTATTAGCTATCGTTTTTCGTTAATATTTATTATCTATATACGTTAGGATTAAATTGATGAGATTCATTTAAATCATAATTTAATTACACATTGTGATAAGAAATATTTATGCACGGTAATGTACATATATGTGTTACAACAATTAGGAAATATATGTCAATCTCACAGAAACTGTTTCATAATTAACCTTACGCCAGTGAAATAATTTTCCAGTAAAATTATCGGGATTGTTGTGCAACCGATTGTGTATGCTGCTAGTATGATTAATGAAAGAATGACTCGTACTATGTCATGGGCTGTAAATAATAAACCAAGGCACGCTGCTGTTCCCATTAATCCTGAAAGCACTAAATGTAAAGTGGAAAAAAATTTGTCCTTAATAATTCCAAGAGATTAGAATGAGTGACAGTACACTTACTTAGGAATATTTTTCGACCAATAACATCGATACCAATTAGCAACAAAATTTCTCCTAATATATAGCTCAAAGATAAATAGAAAAAACCACTAAAACGATTTGTATCTACTTCTTGACAATTCTGCAAAAATCCTAATGCCAAGCTCTCTACACTAACAATGCACGTAGAATTCTTTTTTGACGATTTGTTAAAATTCTCGGTTTCTTGAAGCAACTGGGTATTCCACAGTGCAATCCAAATAATTCTAATACCATAATATTATCGAAACGAATAATAAAACATTTAATGCGTTTATGCTCAATAGAAAATGATATGTTACCCTGGAAATTGCAAAAAGTTAATACAAATTCCTAGCAGCGTCGTACATTTCAATGGTGTGCTGCATGCCTCACGGATGCGTTTACATGTTTTTATACAGAATTTCCGTATTATAATAATTACATTTCTTGTAATTTCTTCGTCCTCCTCATTTGGTCGAACACAATTGTTTAGATTATGTAACTAAAATGTATCATTCAATATTATTTCATAGTATCCAATCTCTAGGAAGTGCGAGATTTTGTGAATGATTGTGACGCATCATTAAAATTTGATTCTCAGAAAAAAAAAAAAAACATATTTCTTATAAGATAATATCAATATAAAATGATCATACCGAGTAAGTATCGGCATGCTTCGAATTATTAATTGCATAGATTTGCCGTAATACTGTTAGTGCTTCTTCGTACCGACGGCGATAAAGTAAATACCTTGGACTTGTTGGTAACAAACTAGTCGCACACGCCATGATCAAATTCGGTATACCTCCTAATCCTGTAAGGACTCGCCAGGAATTTGGTCGAAATTTTTTATTTTGTAATTGTATGATCGAAGGCATCAGTAGCCATGATAATCCTATTTCCAATTACATATTCAATTTAATGAATATAATACTTTTGTACTCCTTTGTAATTTTTACCTAAGGCAGATATGTAGCCAATGACTCCTAATAAATCCAAAATAACTAAGCAAAAGCCTCTTCGTTTCATGGGCAAAATTTCGATTAGATATACTCTTAAAGCCACGTTATTACCAGCTAATCTAAAATATACATATACATTTTCATACGTATATTACGATGATTCATACATTTTCATATATATATATATACACTACATAATTTCGTACACAACTTCGTAGATGGTAACTATACTTACCCCACTCCAAGTATAAATGTTGAAAGATATATTAGCAAAATAGTTTGCGCAAACGATAAAATGATAGTAGCGCAAAATACAACTAACATAGTAACAGGAATACAATCTTTACGTCCACTTGCATCGATTATTGTTCCGAATACAAATGCTCCTATGGCCATTCCTATATACAATCTCATTTTCATAAGATACATATATTATAAATTATCTAAAACTCAAAATAATAATTTATTTTAAGTGTATTCTACTTAGAAATGTAAAGATGAGGTAAAATGAACAGATTTGAAACGATTATTGAATGTAAAATCATAAATATTTTAAAATGACCTTGGCTAATGAGATTGACTATAAGATTCATTCTATTCCACGTGTAAATCTATTCCGAGTGATTGTGAGATTCTTGTAGCGTACAAATACCGGATAAGTGACTGAATTATTTTCTGTTTAGAGTGACGACAATTTAAATTGTGAATTTTTATTTTATGCATTTATACGATATTTAAAAATTCATAATGTTTACTGAATGAAATAAATCTTACGCTTAATTTTAATAGTTCAGAAAAGTATGAATTTACATAAAAATCCGTAAATTTAGTAATGATAAATTATTTTCAAGCTTCATATAATTGGAAGCGAATAACATATCTAGATAGAAAAAATGAAAAATAATTCTATCAAATAAAATCTCAGTTTTGATCTATCATTTAGAGCACTCCGTTTATCTTTGTTTCATAATCTTTTCGCCTTTCTTACTTAATCTATGTTTTCTTTATCTTTCTGTTTAAGAGAACCAAATAGCATTGTAATCATACTTCATCTTATAACATAAATAGTTTAAAAATATTATTTATATTGCAAAAAAACACATTTCAGAAATTTTTAGTGATTTAGAAATTAATTAATTATATCTTTATGAAAAGTGGATAAATTTATAAGGCATATTTCTCTTTATATATTCATTCTATATATACCTAAAGTTAAGATAGCATACACGGTAGTCACTTGACTTGTATTTAGACTTAAATCACATGCCATAAATGGAACTATAACTAGAATAATGGGGAGAACACAAGCTTCTGCAAACGCACACATGCCACATAATCCAACAATAAAACAATGACAAAGTCCCCATCCTGTAATTAGATATAATAAAAAATTATTTTAAATCTGACATGTATTTTATTTCATATTGATCATTAAATAAAAGCATTTATCTTTTTTTATGTGCCGAAAATATATACCAGACATATTAGACGTGTTATATATTTTTTTCGTATTATGTTGCAACCAACAAAGAGAATATAGTAACCTATACTGTTATATACTATTATATTACTAATATATAGAAGTGTTATAATTTCAAAAAGTATTACATAATCATAAAATAAATAATACATATAAATATATATATTACAGTAAATAAATACTGCATAATCAGTAAATAAATTACATAGTTACTCTTGATGCTTTTTTCTATACTTTAAAATTAAAAATCATTTCAAGAACGTTATTATTTTATTAAGGTTGTCTCTTTGTAGGCTATAACACTAAATATATTCATTTATATTAAAAATATTTTGAGAAATATGATATGAAAAAATGAAACTTAATGAACTTCATGGAATAAGATATACATATTTCGCAAATTATGTATCCATCAGATTTGATTAAATTAATCCAATGATTAAATAAATTTCCTAACCTGTTTTAGCAATAATTTTTTCACAGTTATTAGTCATCATATATCATGAAATTTAATGATAGATACTGATTTGTAGAATTCCATTTGCTACACTGGAAAGTCATTGAGCTATACATTTATTCGTGAATTAATGACGATAATTCAGTAATTTCAAATTCATATTCTCAGAATTAAATTATTAACAAAAACCATTCAATACTTGATACTAACAATCTTCACCTTGAAGCTAGTTACATAATTATACACTTAGAAACATTGAGCAGCAATAAACTAGATGAATAAGTGATTCAAATACACAATATATAAAAGACACTTATTTATTATAAGGAATGAAAATATTTCATATTGAAAATATAGATAGCACTGATATTTAAATATTTCATTACAAAACAATCTACTGGTTTCCAGTTAAGATGAATATTATAATATTAGCAGAATATGTGAAGTTTTTTAAGTGTTTCATTTATTGATCTTTGAAATATTCTTTAGAGCCAACAACATCAGGCTTCATAGTCTTCTTTCCTGGTTTCCAACCAGCTGGACACACTTCTCCATGTTTATCAGTATACTGGAATGCTTGAACTAAACGCAGAGTCTCATCAACAGATCTACAAATGCATGAATTTGTTATGGTAAAGCAACCTCAAGAATCCTACATTAAAATGTCTTATTATATAAATTTTACCTGCCAACTGGTAAATCATTAATAGTAATTTGACGTAAATTTTGTTTGTCATCTATGATGAAAAGACCACGGAAT